CTGGAGCGGTACAACCCACCATGCATAGGGACCGAAAAGATCGATGACGGTCATCAAATGTCGAGTGCCATTGTCATTTTTTTTTTTTTTTTTTTTTTGCAAACGCCTGCATGTCCACCAGATCTTCACTCCATTATGATAATTATGTCATCCAACTCGTGCACTATCACACGTCTGCGGGGGAAGCGTACACGTCTTGGTCTGTGCATTTCACTGGCTTTAAACGCTCCATCCACACATCATCGTCATCCTCACTAGCACTGACACCACTGTCAGTGCCTGGGGCAGCAGCAGCAGCAGTTGCACCGCTGTCACTCCCAACACCGCCAGTCCCACCACCTGCGGTGCCGTTTGTGATTGAATCACTGTCAACGTCCAGGATCACGGGATCCTTGTGCAACCTATTGTCAGTGAAGTCACAGTTAGTGGCGTGCAAGTACTCGCAAAGTACCTTCAATAGTACCCTGCTCCGAGAACAGTCTCCCTACGAGAACTGCATACCGACCACACACAGCAGTGCATGATAAAATTAAAAATAATAATAATAGAAATATTGACTGGTTATTATTATTATTATTATTATTATGCTCTATTCGCGTTAGCATCAGTGAGCTTATAAAGCTCACATATAGCCTTCGCTTAAGCCGCAAGAAGGAGCAAGTGAGCGCGAGGAAGCGCAATGCACACAGAGCGTCAAAACAAAACAAAAACAAAAACAAAAACAGAAAAAAGAGACAAGCTGCAAGAAGGAGCAAGTGAATGCGAGGAAGCACAGTGCACATCAAGCATCACAATCACAAAAAAGACAAGATGGAAACGCAAAGTTATGTCCATTGTTGCATTAGCGGCTACATACAACCTTCACCAGGTCCTGCCACTGAGGGCGATCCTGGGCGAGCTGCTGCAGCCTGTTGCAGTCATTTCCATTATCTATATATAAAGGTATAAATTATGTCCATTGTTTCATTAGCAGCTACATACAGCCTTCACCAGTTCCCGCCACTGTCGACGGTCTTGGGCAAGCTGCTGCAGCATGTTCAAGTCATCGCCAGTCTCTAGGGCGGTATTATTTTTCAGCTTTTTGAGATCATTATTGAGCGTTCGCGGGAGCGTTGTTCTTGGGCGTCCCCTAAAGCTGGGGCCGTTACCCCCTAAGAAGTAAGCTCCCATGGCACGTCTGGCTGGGGCTGCCTCTTCCAAACGCAGCACATGACCAAACAGCCTCCATCTAGCATCTCTGATGATTTGGCTCACGGGGCGAGATTCTGTGCGTTTATACACTGGTTATAAAAATGTTATTGAATAAAGTCATGTATTATGATGATGATGATGGCCTGTGTGTGTGTGTGTGTGTGTGTGTGTGTGTGTGTGTATGTGTGTGTGTGTGTGTGTATGTGTGTGTGTGTGTGTGTGTGTGTGTGTGTGTGTGTGTGTGTGTGTACATCTCCAATAATATACATGTAGCTCAAAGTGAGACAGGCGAGGATAGACATAATAGTTATCAATGAGAGCATTTGTGGAATTCCAAAATTCGTGAATGTTGACTGGGTTTGCTGACAACGCTTGTAGTGCACCACGTCAATAGCATGCAGTTCTTGATAAAAGAACTCAACTAGAGTGCAGTGCAGTTCATGACCGTATCCTCTCAGCGACACTTCTTCGCACAACAGAATGAGCATTGCAACCAACACGATGATCATACTAATGTTGTTACTGGAAGGGGTGCTCTTCACCTTCTTGAACACGCAGGATAGGTTCTTCATGAGGTAGCGTTGAGCAATGTCAGACTTGTCAGTAGCAGTACTAGGGGCTGTCCCATCAGGGGTTGGATCAATTGGAAACAACAGCTTCACTACATCAAGTAGTTCTTTCCGCCCGCAGGAAGCCATGTCCTTGGCAGCAATCCAGATCAAGTTGGTTATGGGGTGACTTTCAACAACTGCTTGGTCATATCCAGGTCTCCATTGAAAGGTTCCACCATGTTCGTCAGCGAGGTTGCGATTCCTAACCGCGCAGCACACCGCATCAGCGCACCTATTGGACAATGTCCGTACTCATCATGACCTTTCAAAATAGACCACAATCATGTTCATCATCTTCTTCTTCTTCTTCTTCTTCTTCTTCTTCTTCTTCACCAAAGTAATAACAAGGATGAAGACAACAATTACTTGTGACTTGACAATGACTCTTTGAGAAATGATTGAAAATTAAGATGTCAGGTTTTTTTTTTATACATGTATAACAGAAGCAGCAGCAGCAGCAGCAGGAGCAGGAGCACCCTTCATCCTCCTTCTCCTACACATGGCACTTGAGAAACGGTACAGCACACATTTCAACTCCTGAGGAATTACTTCCACACGAGGTTCATAGCACCCGTAAGATTTGATTAGTCTTTGCATCAGTTCATTTTTTCCTCAGAATTAAACTCTCGGATATTCAGCTTAAACTTCTTCACCTGAAAAGGGGTAAGAGGCTTTGTACGGATTAGAAGTTGGCGGAGCCAGTCTTTCGAAAATTGCTGCGGTTTGCAACTCATTAGCTTGCTGGATCGTGCCCACGACACATGGCTCTTTGGAAGATATGGCTGAAGCTTCTGGCAAATCTCGTCGTGGTCAGCACAGATGCATGTCAGAGCTATGGCATAGTTCAGGCTCTTGTAGCCATTCTCCTTCTTCATGTACTGCAACGGTTCCAGCACACCGTGAAGGTTCAGCAGGACACCGGTCTTTTCCATGAAGCGTACCAGATGTCTATCGACGGCAGTCAATCGCTCCCGAGCGGCATATAACTGAAATACCGCCGCTAAAAGGTACTTTCAACCATATCAGCTCACAGGTCTGGACAATTGGTAAAATGCATTGTTTTTCAGTTGTACCTCCACTACATAACATTACAATTGAAATTGAAGTTAACGTTCGAGAACCTTCGACGGTACGAGTAATTCATTTCTAAGTCTGCTGCAGTGGTGGCGGGGTTGCTATACCCTAATGGTTTCAAAAACATCCCAGACAGTCAATCTTATTAACACCACACCCACCACTTTAAAAGCACTTATGTCGCCGAGAGGCACTTCAAAACCACTAAGTCATTAACCCAATTAAATGTGACACCTAGGCCACTTAAAACCACTTCACGTTTCAAGTGGTCACTTAATTACCACTTATCCAATTATAAGGTCAAGGGGACTAATTAACAACCGACGGAGTCGACTCCGTCGACGGAGTCGGTTGTTAATTAGTCCCCTTGACCTTATAATTGGATAAGTGGTAATTAAGTGACCACTTGAAACGTGAAGTGGTTTTAAGTGGCCTAGGTGTCACATTTAATTGGGTTAATGACTTAGTGGTTTTGAAGTGCCTCTCGGCGACATAAGTGCTTTTAAAGTGGTGGGTGTGGTGTTAATAAGATTGACTGTCTGGGATGTTTTTGAAACCATTAGGGTATAGCAACCCCGCCACCACTGCAGCAGACTTAGAAATGAATTACTCGTACCGTCGAAGGTTCTCGAACGTTAACTTCAATTTCAATTGTAATGTTATGTAGTGGAGGTACAACTGAAAAACAATGCATTTTACCAATTGTCCAGACCTGTGAGCTGATATGGTTGAAAGTACCTTTTAGCGGCGGTATTTCAGTTATATGCCGCTCGGGAGCGATTGACTGCCGTCGATAGACATCTGGTACGCTTCATGGAAAAGACCGGTGTCCTGCTGAACCTTCACGGTGTGCTGGAACCGTTGCAGTACATGAAGAAGGAGAATGGCTACAAGAGCCTGAACTATGCCATAGCTCTGACATGCATCTGTGCTGACCACGACGAGATTTGCCAGAAGCTTCAGCCATATCTTCCAAAGAGCCATGTGTCGTGGGCACGATCCAGCAAGCTAATGAGTTGCAAACCGCAGCAATTTTCGAAAGACTGGCTCCGCCAACTTCTAATCCGTACAAAGCCTCTTACCCCTTTTCAGGTGAAGAAGTTTAAGCTGAATATCCGAGAGTTTAATTCTGAGGAAAAAATGAACTGATGCAAAGACTAATCAAATCTTACGGGTGCTATGAACCTCGTGTGGAAGTAATTCCTCAGGAGTTGAAATGTGTGCTGTACCGTTTCTCAAGTGCCATGTGTAGGAGAAGGAGGATGAAGGGTGCTCCTGCTCCTGCTGCTGCTGCTGCTGCTTCTGTTATACATGTATAAAAAAAAAAACCTGACATCTTAATTTTCAATCATTTCTCAAAGAGTCATTGTCAAGTCACAAGTAATTGTTGTCTTCATCCTTGTTATTACTTTGGTGAAGAAGAAGAAGAAGAAGAAGAAGAAGAAGAAGAAGATGATGAACATGATTGTGGTCTATTTTGAAAGGTCATGATGAGTACGGACATTGTCCAATAGGTGCGCTGATGCGGTGTGCTGCGCGGTTAGGAATCGCAACCTCGCTGACGAACATGGTGGAACCTTTCAATGGAGACCTGGATATGACCAAGCAGTTGTTGAAAGTCACCCCATAACCAACTTGATCTGGATTGCTGCC